ACATGCAAACCCCAAACATGCAGCTTATGAGAGATGGCGGCAGAGTGGGCGGGTGTGCGAGGGAACAGGCACCAGCTTGTCTCGGGCCCATTCCTGAGGGAAGAACCATTGTGGGCACTTCCCTTGGCACTCAAAGAACTGTTTAAGCGTACGGTGGTTTGGGTTTAGCGGATTAAAAATTCAAGTGTAAACTAGCAGAAAAACAATTGAAGAAAGACTTTCAAAGCTGCGAAACCTTACCACTTAAGATAATGACAGAAACATGACTGCTTCCTCCCTGGCCGCGAGGAACGCGATCAGAAGGTTGGAAACAACAGGTCCTGTGCAGCAGTGTGTTGTGTGCTGCTTATTCTATTACACATTGGCTGGGAGATAAGAACAAACAAGACAACACCCTGTCTAACTCCAGGGGGAGGCGTAGGGCAGACTGGCTACCGTCATTCCTGGGCATGTATGTGCAGGGTGCCCATCTGCAGTTGAGGTCCTTAGCAAAACTCTGCATGCAGAGTCAGGAGCTAGGATAAGCATGCAGAGGTTTTCTATTGCACAACCCAATCTTTTAAGAACAAGTTGCGTCTATAATAAGGGGCTTTATGGTGTTTTTCCACCATGAAGAACATTGAGGCTATTTGAGTAATTATTTCTCTAAACTCTTTGTCAACATTCTTTTTGTTCAATAAGGGAAAAAAAACTTTAAAAACTTAGATGAGCAAATATCTACACCCAGCTCCCCTCCCTGTGATCTGCTGTGTAAGCGAGAAATCACAAAACAGCCACTAGGTAAAGAAGATGTGGTCACTGGGGTCATCTTTCCCCTCTGGCAGAGGGGTAGTCTCTGGTCTGGTTGCCAGGGGCTGTGCCAGGTCCAAAGGGAGATTCTGTTTAAGGACAGCAGCTGCTAAGCCCTGGCTCTAACCAGCAGGTCATGAGACCGTACGGCACTCATGATCCAAAGACAAAGCTGATCTCTGTGGCTATCCATGACCTCTCACTGTCTCTGCCTGTCTTCACGTGGTTGACCTGAGCCTACCCTAAGGAGTTGCCCACCCTACTCTCCGTGTCCTTGGTTTTACTTTCTCCAGAGCGCACATCTTCACTTCTGTGTATTCTACTTTTCTCCCAGACTAGAATGTCCATTCCCAGAAGAATGGAGATCTCACCAACCTCACTTGCCCTTGTCGGCTTGGCATTAAGTACTGCATGCGGACAATGTGCTTGACAGAAATGTAGCAGGACAGCAGACAGCTGCGCACAACCTGGGGAGCCAGCAGAAGGGATGGGAGTGGAACCTGCTGGCTACCTCAGTGAGCCGTGACACACACTGTGGATCTGCTGAGAGACAAGTGGTGAAGCAGACACACAGAGAGGTAGGACTGGGGTGATCATTTTAAGCAATGTTCATAAATCTTGTTCCGGGCTATTATTCCACTGACACTATTGCTCTTATAACCAAGAGTGTAAGTGTGACAAACAGCACCCTTGGCACTTACTTCTCAACGAGAGGAAGTCAGACTGTAGATAAGAGAATACATGAGGTCAAAACAAAAATGGCCGAATATTAATCTGCACAGCAGGAGAGCTTTTACACAAAGGAGAGCCAGTCAGAATGCACTCCTCTCTGCATGGGGGCATCACAGCACTCACTTCGAGACCTGCAGAAGTAAAATGAAAGAGAACCAGAGAGCCCGCAGTTCCCAGAAAAGTAAAGCATGGGGCAGAGTGGGCAATGGATGACCAAATGCACACTGGTCGGTTTCCTCAGACTAGAGTAGTGGTTCTCAACCTGCAGGTCATGGCCCCTTTGGGGTCAAACGACCCTTTCATGGGGGACACATAGACGATCTGTGTATCGGATATTTATACTATGATTTAAAAACAGTAACAAAAGCAACAGTTACAAAGTAGCAATGAAAGCAATCTTACGGTGGGGGTCACCAGTACATGGAGAAGTGTATTAATGGGTCACAGTGTCAGTGCTAGGAAGGCTCAGAACCACTGGGCCAGAGTAAGAGCATCTTCCCCTTGATGGGTGAGGAAGAGAAGTGCTGGGACAGAAGGAGGGCTGGCTGTGCAGCCATGGCTTTTGTAGCAGAGGATGACAGAGACAACATAGTGCAACCGGAGAAGACTTTACTAAAGAGCGCCAGAGCACTTTCGCTAGGTCTATGTCCAGTCCAGCTCCAGCCACTGCTGGTGCACCGCCTGCCTTCTTGTGAACTGACTATCTCTACGTCCAGCTCTGGCCACTGCTGGTGCACTGCCTGTCCTCTTGTGAGCTGACTATCTCTACGTCCAGCTCTGGCCACTGCTGGTACACCGCCTGCCTTCTTGTGAACTGACTATCTCTACGTCCAGCTCTGGCCACTGCTGGTGCACTGCCTGTCCTCTTGTGAGCTGACTATCTCTACGTCCAGCTCTGGCCACTGCTGGTGCACCGCCTGCCTTCTTGTGAACTGACTATCTCTACGTCCAGCTCTGGCCACTGCTGGTGCACCGCCTGCCTTCTTGTGAACTGACTATCTCTACGTCCAGCTCTGGCCACTGCTGGTGCACCGCCTGCCTTCTTGTGAACTGACTATCTCTACGTCCAGCTCCAGCCACTGCTGGTGCACCGCCTGTGCTCTTGTGAGCTGATTATCAAACTTTCACTGAAGTCACCTATTCAGCTCAAGAGGAAAGTCGAGCATATTCACACAAACTACGAAGAGTAACGTTTAAAACACTGTGTATCATCCAAACATTTAAAAAAATCCTTTAACACAGTTCATGATTTGCCTGTTTTTGTTCATGTGGGAATGTTGACTGCTGTTTGCCAAAGAGGAACACTAAAACGGCACTCATTATAATTGAAACCTAATTGCTAAGGAAGCCCAGAGCTATGGAATTTATGATCCTGCTACATGTTTATAAACAGGGACTCAGGAAAGAGCCGGTTAATTTATCAAGAGGTTCTTTGGTTCCCTGTATACTATAACGACCAGGGCATGGGGAGTTTTGGTGCACAGGTCTCTCGCGATGGCACCTCATGGTTTTGAGAGTTTCCCGATCCTGTATGGGGCACAGAGTTGACCTCCACACCTGCATTTTGCCACAGTAGGCCTTAAGCATAGGAAAAGCAGCAGGGCCCCTGTAAGACTCCCTCCATCCCCCCACCTCCGGTTCAGCACCCTACTAGAGCTAGACAACAGCACAATCACCCTTCCAGTGTTCACAAGCAAAGAAAACAGTTAAGTCCAGGAAACAGCTTAACCAGGACAGGCTACTTCCTGGCTAATAATGTGTGTATGTGTGTGTGTGGGGGGGGGTGCTATTTGAGAACTGTGCACAGTTCTGTCCTGTTGTTACCACCACTCCAGTCCTGACACCTGTGCCCAGCACCACTTAGCCTTCAGGCACTTAGGCTTCTTATTTAAAAATACAGCATTAAACACGTTTAAATAACTTCAAATATCTTAAAAAGCAGAAGCCTTGCCGCAGGCCTGCTCGGGCATGCAGACTCGGAGAGAGAAGCTTATAGAATGGCCTGCGGGTCAGCACATCCTAGGTCTGGCAGTCTGTGTGGCGGGAAGGGGCTACTGAGAGGTTCTGTGTTTGGAAAATACTCGGCCTTTGCTTCCCCCAGGCTAGAATATGGGACTGTTAGCAAATATGCCTTGAAAACAACATCCATAAAGTATTAAAACCTCACAAATAAATATGACCCCTCAAAACCATACACAAATGAGCAGCATTTAATCAACAACCCTTTCTTCACCAATAACTGTTTAAATTAAGTCCAGAAAACTCTTCAAAGTGACCAAAGAAGCCCCCTTGTTAAGACAAACTCTATATATAGACATCAAGACAATTATACGATGCATGCCACCAAACATATATAATTATCCTAGTTTCCACATTCCCATTATCATCATAAAAACAGGATAAAAATCAGTCTAAATGATTTTCTCAGAACTCCTCAAGGGTTACATCAAGCCAGCCACCCTTTAAAAAGTATGCACGTGTGTGTGCGTGCGCGTGTGTGCATGTGTGTGTGTGCCTACAGTAGAGATCAAAAGCAAATGTTCTGGTCAGTTCTTTTCTACTCAGGGGTTTTACCCAGAATGTGTGCAGTTTTTTGGGAAAACACAAGTGACAGCTGTTTGAAAGCATGGAAATTAATTGGCAGAAGGAATTTCCTTGACTAATGGGGAAAAACTCAAAGCCACACGTTTGATGAGCTCGTTTCCCATCCTAGTCAAGCACAGTCCCTGTTAGTGATTAGGGTTCGCAAACAGAAGCATGAGCGCGGTCCACCGGCCATCTTTCCCTGTGGGACAGAGCCACCCTCCTATCACTGTGTGGACGGACAGTGGGACTGATGGAGTGGCTGTAATTAACGCAGGGTAGGGTCAGCTGGTAAGTCTCCAGTTTCTGTTGGAATGAAATGGGGGCACGATAAGAATACTTCACTTTACTGTATTAAAAATAGGAACACGTCGCTATGCCCCTCCCCCATGCAAGCCATCTGCTTTTAGCTGTTTTCCCAGCAGTGTGGATGGATTTATGTTCTGACACAGGGCTCTAAAGTTGTTGCCTTGTGACCAGTGGTGAGAATGGACGAGGCAGCTGGTCAGGATTAGGCGAGCAGCTGTGGCCCTGGGACCAGGTTTTGTTACTGTGTGCGGAGCCTGACGCCATGACCTTGGACTCATTAGCAGCAAGCTCTCACCACCCACGCTAACAGCCACTGAGTAACCGCAACCCCACATATATCACTCTGGAGTGCGTTCTATGCCCAGTCTCAGCCATGATGTCTACAGTTCATTGCAATAGGGTGGGGAGGAGGGCCTACTTGAAAACCATCTCCTGAAGGTAGCAGTAAGAGATCCAGCGGTGAACAAGGAACCCGTCCCTTCCACCCTGAGCAAACGAAACTGCTGACAGAGTTTAAGAAAAACATTCCCCCAGCAGTCCCCAGACTTTTGAAGCGTGTGTTCCATGTGCCATGCCGAGACGCATACCTGGCCATCCCCAGACTTGGAAAGTTGGCAGGGACAATGAGTATGTCCAGCCGGGAGAAAGGGTGTGTTCCCAAGACAGAGTGCGCAGCTGACAGGCAAGGAGGGACCAGCCACAGCAGGGCCTCTTGGCAGGCACCCTCAAGGCACAGTGGGGCAAACACTCGGTGAGGAATGATCTCCTGGGTGGCAGCAGAAGCATCCTGGAATCGGCAGGGGTATTCTACATGACTGCAGGTGTCAGCATACCTGGGGCAACACATAAGAAGAGAGGAGGCCAGCGTTGAGAAGATGGCTCAAACAACCTTATTAGCAGAGGTGGATCAGTACTGCCTTGTCTGCTTTTGGATAGCAGTGAAAAAAAAAAAAACAGATCAAAATATTTGTTGATGAGATTGGTTACTTAAATCCATGCTACATGGAAGCAAAAATACCTTGTCGTAGAATCAATGGGGGTGCAGTGCATTGGGAAGGGGGCAAGATTTAGAACAAGAAAACAAGCTCCCACCCAGATTAAAGCAAATTCTACCTACCCTCAGCAAAGTGCTTTCAGATGCTACCATAGAACAACTGCCCAAATAACTGACAGTTCTTAGAAAGGGAGCAAGGCAATTGCCACGCCATTTATTCAATTTTCATTGTTTGAGATCTCATGCGGCCCAGGGAACTTTGAACTCATATGGCCAAGGCTGCCTTGAACTCCTGATTCTTCTGCATCTACCTCTCGGGTGCTCGGACTACAGGTATGAGCCCCTATGTAGCTGGTTCTAAGCAAATTAAAGATTCTATTCTGGAATCTCCCACAATAAGTGACTTGAGATGAGGTAGGACAAAGACAGTTACAGGTATAGCTTTCAAAAACACATAAGCCATCCTATCAAAAAATAATCTAGGCATCCTTTACCAAACTTATCAGAAGCTATTGCTGAGTTAAAAAAAGAGGCATTTCCTAAGGGTGTTTACTCTACTACACCTTTTGGCTATTGAGACAGGGTCCCATGCACCATAGGCTCACCTCAGAGCTCCTGACCATCCTGCCTCTACCACTTGTGTGCTGTGATTACTGGCATATGGCTGACTTATACGGTGCTGGGAATTGAACCCAGAGCTTCCTGTATGCTAGGCAAGTACTCTACCAACTGAGCTATATCTCCAATTCCTTTCCAATGCACTTTCAGTATAAATGTAATAAAATCAGCCTTCTAAGGAAACAGACCAGAGCCCACTCAGCACCATCTGACTAGTTACTCCCTGAAAGACAAAGGCGGAGCCAAAAGAAAATTCCTAGGGCCTGACTCACAGGCTTCAAGAGAACTTATATATCCAAAAAAACCAACATCAAAGAGAATTCTATTTTTTTTTTTATCTGTTAACATGTCCTCGATTCAGATACAATGGAAAACCCCTGCAACTTTAAACTGCAGATTATAATTCTTGCTGTGGGTGCTCCTGTGATTCATCAAGACTACTGGAGACTCGTTAAGTGCTTGCCTGCCTCAATTTGGGCAGGTAGCAACAGTAATTCCTCTTTAGATTTATGAAGGATCTTCCACCCACCCAAGGCCTGTGATCAAGAGGTGCACACGGCTATGTAAACAAGCCTCACCTTCTACCATCTGCTGATAGGTGCTTCAAGAACCCCGTCTAGCCCCAGTGAGACATGGTTGAGAGTAGGCTAGAAAAATGGGGACCCATAAAAACTGCCAGGATAAAGTGACAGCAAGCATACAGTTACTGACATTGAACTGGAGTCAAAGTCCTGTACTGACAACATCACCTTACGGGGAAGGAGAGCAAAAGTATCTGCTGGTAAACATTTAACACCTACCTAGGGACGACGACAAGCAGAAGTCGCTTACCTAGTTAGCCTCTATGGGATTTCTAAAATGTATTTATACAGGAAAACAAGGTCCTGTGGTATTTTAAGCTACATACACTCTACTGAAGAGCTCTTACAAACTGACAATGGTGGCATATGCCCATTGTATGTAACCAACACTTGGAAAGTAGAGACAGAAGTTCAAGGTAAGTGTGGGCTACATGAGACCTTGCCTCACCCCCTCCTCCCCAAAGGCTTTCAGAAGCCAAGTGTGGCAACAGCACATACTGGCAAGGCTGGGGCAAGAGTACTATGGGTTTGACACCAGCCTGGTTATGAGCTCGAAGCCAGCTTGGGCTACACTTCAAGACTCCGTCTCAAAAGAACTGAAGAGTGGCCTTCAAAGCATCTTCCCTAAAGCTGGAACCCTCTGGGCAGAGCAAGGGAGTAAGTTTAAGGACTGAGAACCATAGTGCTGCCGCACAAAGGGCACTCTACTGAGAGTCTGCCTGTTCCCGTGGAACGAGACTACATCTTACACCTAAGACGACCAGAGGTTAAGGACAAAAGGAGGATAGGATTTGCCTTCCCCAGGCCCCTATGGGGACTTTTGCAGCTTTGTGTTCCCAGTTCCCCCATTTGACCTGACCATGCTCTCTTCTGTTCACAGTGGCAGAGACAGATGAAAAGGGATTCCAATTATTCTGAGCAGGAGGCCCCAACTCATCCTCATCTCGTGGCCTTCATCTCCTAACAGTCAACAAGCCCTGAGACTATAGGTGAGTAACAGACAACTTCTTACATGTTAGGAATTCACAAGCTCTCCCCTTCTTCCTCCTCTGTTTCTCTCTCTGCCTCTCTCCCTCTTGCTCTATGTCTCTCTCCCTTACTCTTTCTCTCTTCCCTCCCCCACCCCCTTTATCTCAATAAACTCTTCACTTAAAAAAAAAGAATTCAAAGTCTTCATTGAAGAAGAAGAAGAAGAAGAAGAAGAAGAAGAAGAAGAAGAAGAAGAAGAAGAAGAAAGAAGCAGCAGCAGCAGTAGCGTGGGTCTAGCCACGGTGCCATATCCAGGCAGTAAGGACGGAAGGCAGTCTCAGGCTCAAGGGAACCTCAATTTGTGTTTTGTTTTTTTTTCTTTTTCAAAAATTACATTAATTTTGTGTGAGTGACCTCATGCAGAGGTCAGAGAATAACTTTTTAAGAGTTGGTTCTCTCCTTCCAGTATGTGCGTTCTGGGGATTGAACTCAGGCCAATAGGCTTGACAGCAAGAACCTTTACTCTGAGCCACTCCCTACCCCTCAACTCCTGTTTCCTGGAGAATATCCTCTAGTTAGCATCACAGTTAAGTTGTGGTGGTGACTCCAGGTGAGAAGATAGCTCGAGATGCTGCCTGAGGTGGCTCAGTCATTATAATAAGGTTGTAAATGCCTCTGGGAGTGATCATAAGTCACCTCCTCCAAAGATTAGACCTGGTATGAATGAAAACAGGTACTGTTCCTCAGTTGGTAGGAAAATAAACAAATTATCGCCCCAGTCTCCTTATCCTCATCTACAACCAAGAGTAACAGACTACAGAACACGGGCTGCAGACAGCCAGTGGCCTCTGTGTGGGCTCAGGATCAGCTGGGATCCACCATAGTCACAAATCCTGCAGCACACCAGTGCTTCACCACAAGAAGACACATTTCTTATTCATACCAAGTCAAAGTTACTCCCTAGGGCACCTGTTTTCCTTACTCAGAAATATGGCTGTTGACAATTACAAAATGAATCTGCTGTGTGGTTCCAGAGCAAGGGAAGGGAATGCTAGACACTCTCACTTGCAATTTAATATCCCCACATGAAAGCAGGGTACGCCACTCTGTCCACAATTACCTTCTTCCCTTAAGAGAATGCAGGTAAAATCTAATAATCTTTCCAGAGCTATATAATGTAGAGCCATTAGGAACTCCAAAACTGATATATTATTGAACAAAAGGAAGAAAATAGATCTATGCTGCCAAAAGGCATAATGTAGGCAGGAAGATGTACTTGTCACCTGGTGTCAGTTCCTAAGGACACCGCCATAGCACTGTGCTCAGAATACATGCAACAAAGCAGAGAAAGACCAGCACAAACATAATGCACACCAAGATGTGTCAGCTGGTTTCTTTTCCTGTTTTGTTTGTTTGAGACAGGGTCTCATATATGACTGGCCTTGAACTCATCATGTATCTATACCCAGTCTACACAGTGCTAAAGGTAGAAGCCAGGGCTTCATGCCTGGTAAGGACTCTACCAGCAAAGCTGCAGACCCATCCCTCTTCCTTCCACTGCACACCTTCCTTCCACTGCACACCTTCCTTCCACTGCACACCTTCCTTCCACTGCACACCTTCCTTCCACTGCACACCTTCCTTCCACTGCACACCTTCCTTCCACTGCACACCTTCCTTCCACTGCACACCTTCCTTCCACTGCACACCTTCCTTCCACTGCACACCTTCTTTCCACTGCACACCTTCCCTCCACTGCCCACCTTCCCTCCACTACACACCTTCCCTCCACTGCACACCTTCCTTCCACTGCATCCTTTTTTCATTGTAACCTTCCTTTCACTGCACACCTTTGCTTTATTAAGACATTTCCGATCAACCACTAAGACATCTAAAGGGTAGGAAGAAAGTGTTGAACTTGCAGTTTTTTAATTTGAATGAGCGTAGAAATGCTTCTGCTGATATCATAGAGGGCTTCACAGCCACTTGCTTTCTTCTCTTTCTTCATGAATTACAAGGCCAACTCTCTTTTCCAGTAGACCTTTCCCTGCTTTGATTAGCTCCATTCTGGCTCAGTTTCTCACATTTCCAGAGTAAAGTCAGCAAACTCCCAAACACAAACCTGAAGTCAGCTTTTGCAGGCAGGAGAGGGTGCTCTATCACCAGCTCATCTGACGGGGATGTCTTAGGCTTCACTTCTGTCCAGGATCCCACTGCAATTGTGAAGGTGGAGGCTGGCATTGGCATGGTCACATAGTAATGCCAGCTCATGTACCCTATGAACAGAAAGCAATCATCATGAGGCACTGTGTGGCTGTGGACCTCACTCAATTCCACACTTGCAGAGCCTGTGGGAAAAACTGGGAACAGCACATCCTGGAGGGAAGCCATGCCACCTGGAGGGGCAAGACTACAGGCCTCAGAGAAAGTATGAGAGATGCTGGTTTGAAGGCAGTCAAGAGATCTGATCTCTTCCAGAGGTTGGTTTAAAGCCATAAGCAAGGCTAATTCTAAAGGGCGGTGCTGAGGCAGCCACTTGGCTGCCAACACGGAGGGTGCTGGCCTCAGGCTGCCATAGACACAAGAACACATCCTTTTCTTCCTCTGTGCCTGGCATGAAAAAGGAAATGTAGCTGATATGAACGAATTTGATGAACAAATCAATAAATGAGGAATGATCATTCTGGGCTATAATCCAACTATTCTGTCTAAATTCAATTAAAGTCCCCCTAAGATGGAGACAGTAGGAAACATGAAATTATGGAAGGGAAGTACGTAGGTTTCAGTCCTGACTTTACAACCAATTAGCTTGTGGAAATGTCTCTTTTTCATGCTTCTAACTATTTAGATGCTCACCCTCATCCCTGAGCACATGCAAAGCTGAAGCAGAGAGCTCACGACACCAAGGGCTCCCACCCCAGCTCAGGATGTGTTCTCTACTTGGTGCAGACATTCGAGCAGGCTTTTCTCAAATAAATGATTGATAATTTACAATCCTAGGCCTCTCTCAAAGATGAGGAAGTAAACTTCCTGTTTCTGAAATGTGAATGCATCATCAGAACTAGCATGGCATTCTTACAGAAGCGTCTTGCTCTGTTGGTTCACAGAGTCAGGCATGGTAGCATGTAATCACTGGCTACATTCAAGCTTAGCAAGTTTGAAAACAGCCTGGAATACATGAGACTTTCTCTCAGGAACAGGGACCCTCCCCCACCCAACACACACGTAGAATATTCTTTTACACTGTGTGAATATATGTCACTGTGATTGGTTTAATAAAGAAGCTGACTGGCTAATAACTGAACAGAATAAGGTTAGGCGGGAGAGTCAAACTGATAATACGGGGGGCGGGACAGAGTCTGAAGAATAGAGAGAGATGCAAGATGAATATGAACATGCCATCCTGAGAAAAGGTACCAAGCCACGTGGTGAAGTGTAGATAAAAATATGAGATAACTGAAAAATGCAAAAGTCGGCTACCAACAAATCTGAGCTATTGACTAAGTGTTTATAATTCATATTAATTCTCTGGGTGTTTATTTGGGAGCTGCTGGCAGGACAAAAACTTCTGCCAATATACACTCCACACATAATTTTTAAGACATATTTATTTGTGTGTGTGTGTGTGTGTGTATCTAGTGTCAACAGAGGGCAGAGGAAGGTAGCAAATCCCTTGGAATTGGAATTACAGATGGTTGAGAGCCACTGTGTGTGTGTGTGTGTGTGTGTGTGTGTGTGTGTGTGTGTGTGCTGGGAATCAAACCCAGGTCCTCAGCAAGAGCAACATGTGTTCTCAAGCATGAATCATCGCTCCAGCCCCTTATATGATTGGTTTTGAAAAGTTTTGATTTAAAAGAAAAAAATCTCAAATCTCAATCCAAGGGCAAGGGCTAGTCACCACCTGCAGTTTTCTTGAGAATTCACCGTGAACACTGGGGCTTTGCTTTAAGACAGAATCCAGACCTGGGAGCTAGGGCTGTACATCAACTGTTGAGAGCACCTGCCTCACATGCAGACACCTGCAGTATCAGCACTCAGGAGGGAGAGGCAGGGAGATCAGAAATTCAAGCCTGGCTTCACACTGAGTTCAGACCAGCCTTAGCTGGAGAGAGCCTTGGGATTAGCAAAGGAGAAGCCACACAGAAGCCCTCAGGTGAAAATGGAGACTGCCCCTGCCCCAGTACTATTAAACACTGTTGTTTTTGACAGAGAATACCATGCAGCACAGTAGATATGTAGATGCTAGGATGGCAGATATGCAGGCCCTACTTTATGCAGATAATGGTTTTATTTATTTATTTTAAGGCAGAAATAAAAAGAATGAAGAAAACAAGATAGAATAGCTACAACACACAGGAAGCTGTATACAAACGGACAAAGGTGGCAAACGATGGCGCAGACTCACATCCTGTGGGCAGCAGAGAATGGCGAGGCCTGCTTTTTAGTTCCCTCTTGTAGGTTGTAAAAGTTTCTAGGATAGGGCTTACTGAACTTCAGCTAGCCTGGCTAAGCATCAGACAGTGGTTAGATCGATGGGTAGGCTTCCCTACCTTGTATATCTGCACTTTCTGTTCATCTTCCACAGACCCTGGAGAATGGCTTACTTTCTAGAGAGAACAGAAAGGGCGCACTAGAAGAACGTGGGAGGAGAGGAGAGAATGGCAGGTGGATAGGGCTAGGTAAATGTGGGCATGAAGGATGCTGGGACCACAGGCATCTTCTCTTACTTCGGTCCCAGATTGCTAGTAGCTAAGCTTTGGTCCAGGAGGAGGACTCAGAAGGAGCTGTCAACCCAAGAGCAGAGGCAGGATGACACATTTTGGAGACCTGTGATCAGTTATGGGGAGGTTGACTCATGTATGTATTCAAAGTCCTCCTCCCAAATGTAAACAAACCAAGGACCTTCAAGGCACTTACAGAAAGCCCATTTAGTGTTCCAGACTGAGAGAAGCAAGTAGGTAGAAAATACTCCTGGAGGGAGGACTGGAAGCATACTCAAGATGTTAACACCACCAGACACAAACAGTCTGAATTAAGAGAATGTATTGCAGTCCTACAAAAAATGCTCTCAGAAAGCACATCATTGGTAAAAAAAAAAAAAAAAAAAAAAAAAAAAAAAAAAAAAAAAAAAAGGCCTTATGGGCGAAAAGAAGATTCAAACAAGGGATAAGATGAGACACTGAGGTAAAGAAATCTCCCATAGGGTCAAACAAAATGTCAAATCAAACCAAGCCACGGGAAAACAACAGTAAGAATCAGGGAGAAGAAGGTGCGGCTAGGAGGCCGAATACCCAAGTAATAGAAGTCCCCCAAACCGTGGCAGAGAAAGTAGAAGAGGACCATTAAAACCCAGGGGATTATCCCAGAAGGGACCATGGGACTCATGATAGAAAGAACGCAGGATCCCTGAGACACAGAATAGGCTACTCATATTAAGGGTGCTGTGAAACTGAAGCAGGGGAATGAAGAGCCCAAAAATATCCACCTCCTACATGCCCATGTTCATCTACAGAAGTGTGCTTCAAAGAGGCGAGAGAAAAGAAAGGACGCCTGCAGAGCCATGACCCACACCCATGGAGGCTGCCCACTGGCCCAGAGACCACAGAGTCTGGGCTTGATGTACACATGGAAACCCAAGGAGATGGAGCGGGGTGACACCAAGGCACTATTACTAATTCCCAGTAGAATAGACACCTAGAAAGGGCACAACTACAGCTGGCTCTGGCTCTTCACACACACAAACCTGAGGCATTGATCCAACTCAAATCCCATGACCCACAACGAGAAGACGGGACACTGGGAAGGCCCATCTGTGAGTAACCAAGCTCCTCAGCAAAGGATGTGGGGGAGGGGAATGCCAAGAAGCAGAGAAAGAAGCAGAAGTAACTACTTCATTTTTTATTTTATTTTTGCCCATAGGCGAGCGCTCAAACACTGGTGCTGTGTCTTCCACCCTCTTGTTACTTTTACTTTAAGACAGAAGCTCACTAAGTGCCTAGGCTGGCCTTGAACTAGAGCTCTATCTGCCTCCAGCTCCAGAGCAGCTGTGGGTAGAGGTGTATCCTGCAAGGCCCACCTGAAAGCAGTTATTTCTTAAGCAGGAAAAATGATAAAGCAAGATGATTGACTGCTCTTTGGGGAAAAGACTGTAATAAAAGCAATAATTATTTGGCTCTTAAATATTGTATTTTAATGTAAAATAGCTAAAGTTAAATCATTAAAAAGAAATCTTTTTTTTTTTTCTTTTGACTGGCCTTAAACCCATGGCAACCCTTCTCTTGATGGAGGAAGGTCATTGGTTAAAAAAATAAAGAAACTGCTTGGCTGGCCCTCATAGGTGAAAACATAGGTGGGAGGAGTAAACAGAACAGAACGCTGGGAGGAAGAGGAAGTGAGCTCAGACTCGACAGCTCTCCTCTCGGGAGCAGACGCCTCAGAAGAGACGCCATGCCCTGCTCCTGGGCAGACACACGCCATGAAGCTCCGACCCAGGATGGACATAGGCTAGAATCTTCCCAGTAAGACCGGTGCTCACAGATTATTAGAGATGGGTTGATCGGGATATCAGAATTAGCCAGTAAGGGCTAGAGCTAAAGGGCCAAGCAGTGTTTAAAAGAATACAGTGTCCGTGTAATTATTTCGGGGCATAAGCTTAAGCTAGCCATGTGGACAGCCGGGTGCTGGGGACGCAGCCCTGCCGCTCCTATTACTACATTCTCTTTACCCCAGAGCTGGGATTGGAAGGGAAAGACACCATGCCTAGAGAAAAGGACATACTTCAATCTTGAGACACTATTAAAATGGTAAAGTACAACAACTGGGAAGGAGCAATCTGGAAATAAGGAACAGGCGGTCCCCTGAAAAGAATCCCTTTAGGAATGGTATGCTGCACACCAGGGCTTTCTGCCAATGCCAGGCACGGGGCTTTACCTGCTCCTTTGCAGTCTGTCTAGTGTTAGAGATTGTGGAGAAGTAGGGACGGAAGCAAATTCTACGTTCACCAGAACTGGAAGGCCAATCTTATGGTGACACCTCACCTGGCACTCAAGGTGCAGTAGGGAAGGCACAATAGGGCACGATGGCCCTATTAGGAATAAGGGGACCTAGGTATGTAGAACACGCTAGCAGCTTAAATAGCACGGAGTCTGGGGTAAGACGAGAAAGCTACAGCAAAGCTGAGCTGGGGTCCAGCCCAGACATCTGGAGCCAGCACTGCTCCTCCAAGGTCTTCCCTGAAGTTAACAATGGAAAGAACGTTGTTTGCTTGCTTTTTAGT